GAGAGATCACATGTTCATTTATCTAGCAAGTCGGCTTCCTGAGCTCAGTCCATGGGCTGTGTCGCTGTGAGTATTGGCTCAGCACTGCTCCTGATGGAAGAAAGCCTGTGGTGGGGGCAATGGCCTGGTGCTCACCCCCACCCCATTCCCTGCCAGGCTCCTAGAGCTCTGTTGTCTCCTCTGCTACTGCCGAGGACAAAGCCATAGCCTAAGAGTAAAGGGACAGGGTCCAGGATGTGGAGAGCAGGCCCAGGAGGAACGGTGTGCTGGTGTGCTACGTGTCTGTAGGAGTGGCCACAGCGAGGTTGGGGAGGGTTGGGGGGAATCACCAAGATGCTGAGAGGATGTGAGGTCTATGCGCTCTGGGGGGAGGGCTGGTGGGCTGTGGTCGGCCACCTGCTGTTTCACATCGCCATGAAGGTGACATGACATGTGAGTGGGCCATTACTTCCATCACTCCCCACAGGAACTCTACCTGAGCCCCCACCTACAGGCACCATCCGGCCTGGACAGCCTCTAACTCTTCCCCCACTCTCTTCTCTTCCTACAATGACACACTGAAACCTTGAAATAACACATCTTTATTTACGACATCATTTCCACATCATTTGCCTATGATTCATTTGTTGTCAAGAGGCATTAAAACCTCCAGCCCCAGCTCCCAGGCACCCACTAGTCTTTGTCCCCCTCCCTCTTCCTAGGACCCACAACTCCCCTTCCCACGGTGCCTTACACAGCTGTCAACATGCCCTGTCTCAACTCCTCTTCTGCGGCCACCATCACCCCTCTGTGGCTTCCATGGGAGGCTGGGGCTGGTCCAGATCATACCTACCCGTCTCCCTAACCCAGACCCTGGCCTGAGGAGGGTCCTACTGGGAAGGCCTCTAGTCCTCAGACTAGATATGACCTCATACAAGCAGGAAGCACTGGAAAAGGGGAAGAAGCTTCTCTTTGCCTAGAAACAGGAAATGGCAGAACTCCCAGCCCCAGAGGCTATACCTTTCTGAGACCCCCCCACCTCCTCACTTTGTCAGACTGGATTTTCCTAGCATCTCAAGGCCTGGTCCTGGTCCCTCCCCTATCACTGTTTCCGACTAGGCACAGGGGTATAGTTTCCATTGTGTGTGTGTGTGTGTGTGTGTGTGTTTGCAGCACACACATGCTGGGGGTAGGAAGGGTTGTCTCTCACACCCTCATTCCCCAGCAGGGCTTTGGGTGCCCCCCTCCCCTGGCCCTGGTTCAAGGAGATAGAAAGGGGGGAGGCAGGGGAGGAAGAGGATGAGGGGCGAGGAGGGGCTGCTGGGAGCTGTGGTTGGGTTATCTGATGTGGGACCAGGTGTGCAGCTTCAGGGCTCTGAGGTGGGGGAAAGTCAGCTTAAGAGAGAAGGAGACACTGCGGAAGCAGCCTGGAGACCAGCAGCGAGGCCGAGATAGGAAGACCCCCAATATTGCCATTTCCGGACAGATGCCTGGGTTCTCCTGGTTACACCTGGTTCAAGGAGGCTCTGGGGTGCCCCTGCTCCCAGAGAGGAAGGCAGACTCCTGTCAATGAGTGGCATGGGGAGGGGTGGCCATGGGGTCTGTGGCACTGGGGACGGGGGTCCAGCCTTATCCCTGAATCAGAGCAGTTGGAGACAGTTGCGGGTCTGTAATCTCGGTTGGGAGTTGATGGGTGGAGAAGGCTTTGCAGGAGGAGATAATGGAACTGAGATGATGGTGCCCCCGCACTAGACACCCTCAGCCTCAGCACTCTCCACCACCAGGTCTCCTGCCTCCTTAGAAGCTGCCCGTATCACCCCTTGGAACTGGGGAACTGAGCAGGGTTGGAAACACCATAGACCAGCATGGAGTGTAGCCCAGCTTTTGAACCTCATTGGGGTGCCAGCTTCCAACTCCTATCTCCTCCAACCTGGCTTGGGTGTGGGGGTGGGGCTGGTTCTAAGGAAGACCAAGTCTGGATAGAAGTTGGGACCCCCAGAAGATGATGAAGAGATAATAATAAAGGCTAATATTTGTTCAGCACTTAGCAACAGGCAGGCACAATTTTAAAAACTCTATATTAACAGGGTTGGGGATGTGACTCAGTGGTAGAGTGCTTGCCTGGCATGTGTGAGGCACTGGGTTCGCTTCTCAGCGCCACATGAAAATGAATATATTAAATAAAGGTATTATGTCCATCTACAAATAAAAAAAATTTTTAAAAAACCTATATATTAACAAATTTAGTCTTCATACCTTTGAGTAAAGTACCACTATCATCTTCAATTCACAGAAGAGAGACACAGAGTACAGGTAAGAATCAGCCTGCTCCTGGATACAGTGTCTGCTGCTCTTGTTTTGTTTGTGTTTTGTACTGGGGATTAAACCCAGGAGTGCTTCATGATTGAGTCATATCCCCAGCCCTTTCTATATTTTATTTGAGACAGGGTCTCCCTAAGTTGCTCAGACACCAGCAATTTAGTGAACTTGTGATTCTCCTGCCTGAGCCTCCTCCAGTAGCTGGGATTACAGGTATGTGCAGTGGGCCTGATATCTCTCTTATTCTTAACTGTTACTCCTCGACAAGGCCCTGTCAGGAGGCTTGCTGCAAGCCTTCCCTGGTGTTATCTTTACAAAGACTTTATGTTGTCATTCATGGATGAGGAAACAGAGGCCCAGAGAGCTCAAACCATTTCCCCTGAAGTTACCCAGCCAATGAGAGACACTACCTGGATTTGGGATGACCTGGGCTTTTCTGTCTTTCTTTCTTTCTTTCTTTCTTTCTTTCTTTCTTTTTTTTTTGGTACTAGAGATTGAACCTAGGAGTGCCAGGAGTGATTTACCACTAAGTTACACCCCCAGCCCTTTTAATTATTTATTTTGTTGTTAAGGGCCTTGCTAAATTGCTGACATTGGCCTTGAACTTGATAGCCTCCTGAGTCATGGGGATTACAGACATGCACTATGGTGCCCAGCTGAGATGACCTATTCTTGAAGTCCATGCCCTTACTCTCTAATTGGCTGCTTTGCTTAAGGTGGACAGGAAAGTGGAATAGCTGCAGAGCTTAATTTGCCTTTGTGGCCCTCACAGCCTAGCATTGCACTGGGCCTGTAGTAGGAGGAGTTGTGGTTGGTATTTGCTGAGTGAATGAACAAACAATGAACAGTCATCTTCCAGGGCAAGGACAACAGAAGCCACTGATACCCTATGTATTATCCTCCCCATCCCCTCCTCAGCCACCTCAGGCTTTTCCTGTAAACACAGCCTAAGGCAGGGAGCCTCTTGGGGTGGGGTCCCTATCAGAGAGGTCCCTATTTAGCAAGGCCCTTAACAACAAAATAGCTAGCTTCTCCCCCTTTCCCTTTATCACTTCTTCCCCCATCCACTCTTTATCACCCAGGGCTGCTTCATAATCTATCCTGTGACTCTTCTCGGCTTCTGTGTAGAATAAGAAATTTAAATCAGTGGGACTGGAGGTGCGAAGGCCAAGCCTTTTCTGATAGTCTCTGATCAAGATAGCTCCATCTATCAGGCCATCCTGTTAGACGGTGGGAGAAATGGCACTAACCAGACACTGACCAAGTTTTGGGCACCTGCCCTGGCCTCAGCCCAGAGGCCACAGATGTTCACAGATGTCTGCAGGAGTCTTAGATGGATTGGCGTCATGGTGGCACAGGCCTTTGCATGTAGACTCTGAGCACAAGTGAAAAGAGCAGAAGGAAGAACCCATGAGGACAACTGAGGGCTGTCAGGTGGCTATGTAAGATTTCTCCATTCCCCTTCAAGGTCTGGATGCCTAAGAAGCATTCTGCTTACCATCCCCAATGCTGACTGGAACTTCTCCCCGTCTTCCTTCTTTCAGCAACCAGGATCTAGGAGGTCATGTCTCCTTCCCTGAGTCCAGCTCAGATGGAATTTGCAGAACAATCCAGCTTGGAATTTGATACTTGATCCACCCCTTCCTGCATTCCCTAGATCAGATAACCCTGGGCTCAGATCTGGTCTAATTCTGCAGGAATCTCTTCAGACTTGGGGTGGAATATTGTGTCCTGAGAAGCACTGACAAGTTCCCCCACATTCCTGTGAATGACCCAATCTTTCCAACTGCTCCCTTCATAGGAGACAACCTCTCATTACCCACTTCTTTCCCTTCCTTACCGGCTGGGTCTTCAACACTGAACAAAAGAGTTTCTGAGCCAGGCATAGTGATACATGCCTGGGTTCAATCACTGGTACCAAAGGAAAAAAAAAAAAAAGTTTCTGGGTAATTTGCTAAGGTCGATCTGCAGGAGGGTTAGATAATCTTTGCGTCTATCTTCATCAACTATGAACTTGGGTTTACAGACCTAAATTTTGGAAGATACAAGGCCAGAAGAGATAGTGAGAATATTGAGTAACAAAAAGAGGATTCAAAAGATTTGAATAGGCTAATGGGGGCATAAATCAAATCAAATAAATGTCAGTAGGGATAAGTGCTAAGTTCTGCATTTTGGCCCCAAAAGCAAATTGGACCAAGGAATGAGGGAGATATGGCCCATACTTTAGGAAGAGGGAGTTAGCATGTGGGTTCTGAAGCCACATGAACTTATCAGTTTCCAAAGTTCAAGGGAAGGGTTTGCATTTGCATAAGTCTGTTTGCATTCATTTTCTAGCGGGGACTGTGACAGAACTAACTTTTTTTAATTTTATTTTTAATTGTCAATGTCTCTTTATTTTTTAGTTATTTATATGTGATGCTGAGAATAGAACCCAGGGCCTCACATGTGCTAGCCAAGCACTCTACCACTGAGCACACAACCCTAGCTCCCCTGACAGAACTAACTTTTTAAACTTAACATTTATTGCCAAGACCAGATCTTTGAGATGCTAACAGAAGTAAGTGGTTAGTACATTGTGTCATATTCAATCATCCATCCATGTATTCAGCTACATCTATGGAATCCCTACTTTGTTCCAGTCTGGTAAACAGAAATTTAAAACACACAATGTACTTCATTCTAGAATAGAGAGCATAGTTCTACCCAAATGGGGCAAGCAGAGGGTAGAGAGTGGTGAAGGTCAGGGGAGAGTTCATGAAAGACATCAAGGCCGAGCTGGAAATTTAAGCCTGATCAGTAGGAGTTAGTCTCATTGAGAAAACTGAAGGAACCATGCAAGGGCATTTGGGGCCAAGAAAACAACAAGTAGAAAGGTAGGTAGCGTGGGTTTCAGAGTTTAGTCTGCAGACCCATGTGGATCCCTGAGACCCTTCAGGGGAATCTGCACGATCCAAACTATTTTCAAAATAATACTAAGATATTATTTGCCTTTATCACTCTCAGTTTCTCACAAGTATACAGTGGAATTTTCCAGAGGCTCCATGACGACCTATGATATCAAACCAGCTTGAATGCAGAAGCTGATAGAGAATCTAGTTGTCTCCTACTAAGCCAGACATTAAAAAGATTTGCAAAGCAATACCCTCTGTTGTTTAATCAGTTCTCCTTTGAAGAATGGTCATTTTAATAAAAAAAAAATTGTGTTGATGTTAACTTCTAATAGATTTTTTTGGGGAGAGGGTACTGGGAATTGAACTCACAGGCACTTGATCACTGAACCACATCCCCAGCCTTATTTTGTATTTTATTTAGAGACAGGGTCTCACTGAGTTGCTTAGTGCCTGGCCGTTGATGAGACTGGCTTTGAACTCACAATCCTCATGTCTCAGCTTCCTGAGCTGCTGGGATTACAGTCATGCACCATTGTGCCTGGCTTCTACTAGGTTTGATATTGTTTATTTAAAAAAAATTAATACATATGCCAGATAAAAAAATTTAATAAATACCTCCAGCGATTCAGAAGGCCGAGGCAGGAGGAACGCAAATTGGATACTAACCTGGGCAATTTAGTAAGACGCTGTCTCAAAATAAAAAATAAAAAGGGTTGAGAATGTAGCTCAGTGGTAGAGCACCCCTGAGTTCAATCCCCAGTACTGAAAAAGAAAATTAATAAACACATCTTAACAATGTTTTCAGTTTTAATTTTGAACATGGTAAATATTGCTAGATATAACCTACATAAAAAGAAGTCCTTATTTTTTTAGGAAAGTAAAAGGATCCTAAGACCAAAACATTTGAGAGCTGCTGATCTAGAGGCAGGGCCTGAGATGCATGCTCAGAGAGCTGGGAGTAGGTGGACACAGTGGGGACTTGAGTTCTAACATCTAAAACAGTGACCAGGACCCAGGAAAGATGACACTGGGATGCGCGGGTGCTCCAAAGGAGCAGGTTCTACTAAATTCTGGGATAAATGAATGAGGAACCATGATATGCCAGATAATAGATCCAAACTGATTCTTTTTAAAAAAAATTTTTATTAGTTTTTGATGAACTTTTATTTATTTATTTGTAGTGTTGAGGATCGAACCCAGGGCCTCATGCATGCTAGGCAAGCACTCTACCATTGAGCCAAAACCCCACCCCCAACCTGATTCTTGAAATCTGTATTAGTTTTCCTTTCTGTAAGCACAAGCCTCTCTTCCTTTACCAGAAAATACTGACATTAATTAGCGTCAGTGATACCTGTGTAGTAGTTTCGGTGGTAGCTTTTTACTGAGAGGTGGGCTGAAGCTTGCAAAGAAAGAGGCCTGGGGCAGTAGTTACTACACTTCTGTGTATTTCAGATTTACCTTCCTACCTTCCCATCTCTTTCCTGAAAATGTTCTTCCCAGGCAGGACTGATTCAGCTGGGGCCAATTTGGTTTATTAAGTGGCACACCTGTCCCCTGGTGGCCAGATGGCCCAATGACACTTCCTCCAGTTCTCAAAGATATTCAAGCAGCAACAGTCCCTAGCAGCAGAGGCTGAGATCCAGAGGTGGGAGTTGTGGGACAAAGAGATCAGATTGGGGACAGCCAGGATCAGTGGTCAAGCATGGAGACAAAGTCACCTCCTTGGCGAAAATTTATTTGTAACAATTCCTCCACACTGCAGCCCAGTAGTGAAGCTGGCTAGCTTTTATGATTGATGGGTAGTGTAATTTAATACTTTATGTGGAACAAGGCAGAACAGCAAGGCTATGAGGTAGCTACAATCATTGTTGCCATTTTATAGAGAAAGCAACTGAGGCTCAAAAACATTAAGTAACTTGCGCAAGGTCATCCAAGAAGCCAAGGACCCAGCAATTTATGCTGTTAACTGTTAACATTTTGTGGTTTCTACTGTTACTGCCTTGTAATCTGTCTGTTTGTGGGTCTGTCTTTTCCTATTGGACTGTGTCTTTCTTGGGGGCAGTGACTCTTATTGCTCTGTCCCCAGCACTGAGCTCAGGGTGTGTCTGGGTACTTAGAAAGCACTAGTCAGCTGGGCTTCAAAAGGAACCTGCAGCCCCTCTCACTGCCAGCATGGATGGTGCTCACTGGCCCCAGGCACAGATCTCTGACTTGGAAGGCCCCTGGCTGAGGTGTGTGTCAGCTATTCCTATCGTTGAGACTCCTCTGGAGGTGGCCCAGGAAGCCCCAGAGCATGAGGAAAGGTGAATACCACCAGGTGCCCTCAATAGCAGGGACTTGGGAACCTTGTTGGATTTGTCAGCATCACAGAGATAGAGGGTAGGAGGCCAGTTCGCTCAAGCCCATCCCTATAGGGCAGTAGCACCCTCTAGTGGGGAAGCTCAAGATAATTTTTGGAAGAAAACAGATGGTTCATAGCTGGGGAGGCTGGAGACAGCCTCTTCAGGAGGTAGTTTCAGAAACAGTTGCTATCCCTTACCCCCAGAGCCGCAAAGAGTCTGGGACTCTTCTAAATCCCCCCAGGCCAGAGTGGTCCACTGCCAAAGGGCTTGCCCAGTTACCCAAAATGTGAAGAAACACTTCCTAGTCCCATTTGCTCTTTGCTGAAAAGAACAGCCTAGTTCAAGGTCACATCAAGGTCACATTTTCTTGTGAAGACTGCATTCAATGACTATCTGATGTAGAAATAGAAAAGCCAGTCTTCCTCATCTCAACTCAGGACAATCCAAAGGCCATCCTGGTTTCAGAGTTCCTGGCTAGGGTTTATTGAAATCCTTGTTAGACTGTATTTCAGCCCAACTCTTCCCTCTATCTGATCTTACTTCCTTCCCTTTCACCATAGCTGATGGTCCTGAGACCTCTTTCCAATAAGTCCCCTGTATTTCAATCTCTATTTCAGTCTACTTCTCCAGAACCCAATTTGGAACACTTTTTAGAATGTCATATATGCCATATGTGAATACAGAGATTCAGAGCAGCTCTCAGGGACAGCGAGCCCCAGAATCTCCCTGCCATCCACCAGCTCTGCACCCTGGAGTGCTTCCTGGTCCTCAGAGCACAGAGTCCCCCAAAAGCCTCACAGGCTCCTTTCCCACAATGAGAAGTAGTCACCATCAGGATGTCAGCGTCATTACCTCCTTGGTCATACTGGGAATGCCAGATGGCACTTATCCTTCTTGTCACCTGCAGGGCCCAGGAGGAAGGCACAAATCCCATGCTGAATAGGCAGCCTCCAAGGTGTTGCCATAGAAGCTGGAGAAATAGACCTGAGGGCTCTGGCCACTCCAGGCAGGCCTTGTTTGCTTGTCCCCAAGGCTGAAGCAGTCAATATTTCCCCACACACCAATGACCTATGTATGTCACATAATGCTCTGAGCCTGTGAACCTCATGGTCATTGAGGTATTTCTCCTTTATGTTTCTTTAGGAGCATATCTGTTCCCAGTAGCCCAGCTGAGGAAGGGGAAGATGTTCCCTATACTGCTTCGTCACTGTGTGATGTCAAACACGCAGTGTCTACTGTCTCAAAGGTCACCAGAAGCATGTTAGGGCCACATCCTCAGTCAGTCACCCACAGTGATATCAGAGAAGAATGCATGGTGTAGACTAGACCAGTGCTATCCAGCAGAACTTTCTATGATGATGAAAATGTTCTGTATCTACACCGTCCCTCATGGTAGCCCGAAGATGACTGAGTACTGGAGCTGTGGCTTGTGTAGCCTAGGAGCTGAAAGTTTACTTTTATTTCATTTTCATAGTTTATATATGTGTGTGTGTGTATGTGTGTGTATATACACACACACATACACACACACACATACAAACACATATATTTTTGGTTCTGGGAGACTGATCCCAAGGATGCTCTACCCCTCAACTACACCCTCAGCCCTTTCATTTTATTTTGAGAGAAGTCTTGCTAAATTGCCCAGCTTGACCTTAAACTTGTGACCCTCCTGCCTCAGCTTCCTGAGTAGCTGGGATTATAATTACGTCCCATTGTGCCCAGCTCATTTCATTTACTTCAAATTTAAATAATTAGATATGGCTAGTGGCTACCTCATTGAACAGTTACAGATACGGAACCAAAACATGGGATGCAAAAACTCAAAATCACTTTGTCCTAATTATAAGATTTTCCTGAGTTTACCTGGAAAAGTCAGTTATAACACACAGCTTTGGAGATTTTTGTGTTCCCCCTTGATCATCTATAAAAATACTAAGTAAGGCCCAGCCCAGTGATGTAATCCCAGAGACTTGGGAGGTTGAGGCAGAATGATTACAAGTTCAAGGCTAGCTCAGTAACCTAGCGAGATCCTGTGTCAAAATGAGTAATAAAAAGGGCTGGGGATGTGACTCAGTTGTAAAGTGCCCCTGGGTTCAATCCTCAGTACAAAACAGCAACAACAACTAAGTCTGAATCTTCTAGTAATTTCTCAGATTCATGCTTTTTTAGCTAGAGACATGCCCATTTATGTAGTTGTTGGTTTCTTTTCTCTACTTTTATTCATTTTTCATGATCAAATAACCCCCAAGCCCAATTCTCAATTTCTCATCCCCCTGTGACACGTTTTAGCCTATGGTTTGAAATTTTTTGCAGATGTTTCTGAAAACTCAATCACATTTGCAAGTTCCGAGGCCAATTTATCCTAAATAAATACATTGTTTGGGCATGATTACTCCATTTTACAGATCCCAATGCTGCGTCCTCAGTGGGTGGTTCTTGTTTGCTGTGTTTAGCAATGCTAACCTTCATCATGAGCCACGCTTCATTGCAGAAGAGGGTGCATAGGCTTTCACTCTTCAGGGCCCCTAGGGAGTTCTACTTGTACATAGGCGTCATTTGCAATCCTCCTGGTCACCAGGGCAGCAGCGATCTTTTTTGCCAACAGTTATCTGCTTTTCATTCTTGAGGTTTTTAGGTAAGTGCCACATTGGAACCAACACATCTGACCAAATACTTTTTTTTTTTTTTGTACCAGGGATTGAATTCAGGGGCACTTGACTACAGAACCACATCCATAGAATTATTTTATATTTTATTTAGAGACAAGGGCTCACTGAGTTGCTTGGTACCTTGCTGTTGCTGAGGCTGGCTTTGAACTCTTGATCCTCCTGTATCAGCCTCAGGAGCCGCTGGGATTACAAGCATGTGCCACCATACCCGGCTTGACCAAATACTTCTGAGAGTAGAGCATTTTGGTCTAACATCTCTAATTTCCCCATCTCAGGGCCCATTTTAGGAAAGGGAACCTCCCCTGTATCCACTTTAGGAAAGTGCTAGCAAGACTGTCAAACCCAATAGGAAGCAATATAATAATGTAGCAGTTAATCAATGGCTTCTGAAGGGTCCAAATCTCATCCCTCTCATCACCAATGTAGCTTTCAGCAAGTTATTCTCTCTGTCGAGTGGGGGTAATAATAGCCCATCTCCCATAGGGTCCTTATAAGGATAAAGCAAGTTGGTTTTCATAAAGCATTTATTTACAGCAGTATTTGCCACAAAGTAAGTGCTATGTAAGTATGAGTCAGCTTTATTACCATAAGCAGAGCTTTTTTTCCCCCATTGGTTTACTTGACAATTTCTGGCAAACTTTTTTTTTCTTTTTTTTTCTATTTGGAAATCAGTTGGGAGGCAACCTTTAAAGCTTTCTTCTGCTGCTTAATGTCTGACTTTCACCAAATTTGTCATACATTCCACCTCTTCTGTTGACCTCACTTGGATTCCCCCTGCTTGCTTCCGGTTAGCCAGCAGAAGGATCTCCCCATGCCTGGAATCTTGTTTATTTTCCACTTTGGTGTGTGCTTTCCTTCACTTCTAATATATACTTTAAAAGTTTTCGCTTTATACATGTCCACCTTCACACTTTCACACTAACACACTAGACAATACAGTTTTCTCCCAATTCAGATCCCTAAATCTTCACTTGTTTCTTTTTTCTTTTCCTCCCAGTTCCTAGACTTCCCTTTTGGAGTCCTGGTTATTTGCCCCTGGACTGAGTAACTGTTGTTCCCAGGGGGTCCCCTTGAGTTCCCAGGAGAAGGCAGGGTCAGAGGGAGAGCTGGGGAAGTGCAGACATTACAAAGATCAAGGTACTTTATTGATAAGGCAACAACAGCATTATACAGGGCTGAGGCAGAGACCAAAGGCCAGGGCCACCCGAGGGGAGGGGTTGATTCACATTGAGACACAGGCTGAATGTCCTTCCCCCCCCTTCTTCTGATGGGTCAGTGGGGCTACAACCCAGGGAAAAAAGGAAGGGGTTCCAGATCTAGACATGCTCTGTCTAAATTTGGGTCAGTCATCAGGGAAATGGAAAATAGGGTCTGAGCTTAGGTGTTTTGTATTGAAAAGGGCACTGGAGTATAAGTCCAAATTCTTGTCCAGCCCTGGAGTGACTTATTTGCTTGTTTGTTTAGTTTTTTTTCTTTTGTACCAGGGATTGAACCCAGAGTGCTAACCACATCCCCAACCCCTTTTATGTTTTATTTTGAGATAGGATCTCTTTAAGTTGCTCAGGGGCTCACTAAGTTGCTGAGGCTGGCTTTGAACTTGTGATCATTCTGCCTCAGCCTCAGCTCCTGGAGCAACTTAAAAATAGTTATTTGAGCATGGGTAAGTCATACCCTCCTCTAAGTGTCAGTTGCCTTTAACAAGGGGGTCGAACTACTTTAACAAATTTTTAAGCTTTCTCCCCCAGTGGAATAGAAAATTAGATCAATGCATTCTACAGCTAAAAATATTCTACAGCTAAAATCAAAGGTCTTTCCCTAGACCCTTATACAATAATAACAATATTCACTAATGTACAGTATTTTCACAATGTAAGTCCCCCCCCATAAATAGCTCTGCCTGGTACCCTCAATATTAGAACATAGTGGAGTCTGATTCTGAAAGCAACTCATATCTAACACATTGAAGATGAAGCCATAGGTATGCTATTCTGTAATGTGGCCTTTAGACACGTTTTCACCTGAAGAATTTTGGGAAATGCAGGGCCAGGAGGACACTGACAGCTCTTGCCATGTTGAGTCTGATTCCTCCCAGTTTTCACAGATGTAGGTGGAGGGGTGCATCTTCTTGGGATTTGGGTGGCCATATTCCCACTGACCTTACCTCCATGTTGATGTGGAAATACTCCCCTAATTCAAGCAGTCATCTCAAAGACCCTCCTTCCATGAGTCCCTCTGGAAGAAGCCCTTCTGTATAGCCCACACACCCACAACCCTCTCGGCAGGGAGGGTTCCCATACCCTGGGTGTGGCCACTAGAGGAGGAAATGGAGTCTGAAGTTATGCATTCCCCTCCTGGCCATGCTCCCTGTGAGTTCTGGGTGGTAGAGTGATGAGAAGGGAACCAGCCCCACACTGCTGGGTCCCCACATGCTCTGACCAGCCCCTGGATCTACCAGCTCCCCCCACCAAGCCCTGAGGTGCAGGTGCTGGCTTCTTGTTCTGCATCTGGGTAGCTATCTTGGAGTTACATGTGGGCAGTCCTCTATCCCACCCTGCCAGGGGAAGAAGATGCAAGCCCCATGTGCTTGTCAGAGGGAGGCCCTGTTGTTCCAAACTGGGGCAAGAGGAGATTGGGACAACTTCCTTGCTACCGTTGGTGATCAGAGAGGGTGAGGTCTCCTTGGGGGTCAAGGTAGGAGGGCCTGCCCTCCTGGGTGGGAGGTAAGGCACTGGCAGGGTGAAGAGGAGGACAGTGGCAGGGAGGCCTTCTTTGCAGTCCCAGGGTAATTCCATCTTGCCATGTGGATGGTTGGAAGGAGAGCTCCCTCTCAACCAACCCTGGACTTTGTGACAGAGACAGCCTTGGATCACCATCCATTGCCATTCTGGGAGGCTGGTTTGCCTGTTGTCCACTGCCTGGTCCTGTGTTCTGCTCTCCTGGGGCTTCTCAGCGGGTGGGTTCTGAGCCAGCAGCTCCTGTCATAGGGAGGAAGCCCAGCATACCACAGCTACTGCCCATGAGAGAATTACCATGGCAAAGGGATGGAGGTGGGCATACCAAGACTGGGAGAGTACCCTTTGGCCAGCAGGGTGGGTGAAGGGGTATCATGACCTTAGTTTTCTTGGATTTGCTCATTCTTGGCAGTGAGTGGCCCAGGCAGGCCAGGAGAAGGAAGGCAGAGGGAGGAGGCACTATTGTGGATGGGACAGAACAGCACAGATAGGTAGCAGGATAAGATGGGGTAGGGTAAGGATTGTGGGTCAGTTATGTATTCTGTGTGGGCAGGGGGAGGGGTCTCCTCACCAGGCTCTGGACGTATGGGCTGGGGGAGGTACAAGTATCTCTGTCCCTGAGGAGTGGGTGCATTTGTCCTGCCTGCCTTCCTTTGCATTAGCAGCAGCCACTTAGGGAGTGGTGGGGACATCCCTGGGCAAGGCCCCTCCTCCAGCCTCTGCCCTCTGTCTCCACTTGATTTTTCTTTGTCAAATAAACAGTAACTCATGACTGAGGTCTCATGGGACAGGGGGCAACCTGTGGCCTGCAGAGAAGGGGGACGTGGTATTAGACTGGACAGGAGAGAGGATGGGCCAGACAGACAAGGGAGATGGCAGAGGTGGGGTTGAACTCCAGGAAAGGTGGGAGGGGCTGCTGGGCTGTAGCCAGTCTGGGGCCTGGGCACCAGGCCCTGGAGGAGCAACCCCGCCCAGGCGCCACCACAGGCCGCCCTAGTCAGGAGATCTCATTGCCAAACACCTCAAGCACAAGGGGCGTGAGCTTCATGCTGCTGTCAGGCTGGAAGGAGAGCGAGCGATACTGCTTGGAGTGTTCCTCGTTGAGGCTACGCAGGTCCGCCAGCTTCTGGATCATCTTGGCATAGAGCAGGTGGCTGCCTGGGGGCGGGTGGCGGCAGCGAATATAGGTCTGCAGCGTGTTGGACAGGCGATCCTGGATGGCCTCCACCAGCTTGGCGTCCTGCACCCCAGGTCGGTCTGTGGCACAGGGGATAGGAGGAGAAGACACAGGGGCTCCAAGCTGACTCCCTTGCTGCTCAGTCTCACTCATATGGATACCTTGTGAGGCACTGCCCAGGCCACCCTGTATGACTGCTGACCTGAGACACCTGCCTTAAGTCCCTCAACAACTTCCCACTGCATGGAGGATGACGTCTTTTCATGAGCCCATCTGGTCCTGTCTCCACCTCACCTCACTTCCTCTGTCTGTACAATGTGTCTGTACATTGTGTCCTGAGCGATGCACTCTCTGGCCTCCAGGCTTTGCTTTTGTGTTTCCTCAGCTTGGAACTCAGCTCTTCTATCTTTGCCTGACTGACTGTAACAGCTTACAAGGCCTTCCTCAAGAGGGCCCTTCCTGACGGCCCTTCAGCTCCATGTCTTAATCAGGCGCCCTGCTGCTGTCATATATTCTATAGATCCACATATCTGGGCTTCATCACCAAGAGAACATCCCCAGGGCCACAACAACTTCCTCCTTGGCCTTTTTGCCCTCTTCCCACCCCAAACAAACAGAAAAGGTCAAGGGTCAAAACACACTGCCTCCAGAACCAGCCAGGTAAATGCAGAATCATTCATCATCCTCAAGGTTTTGTGTTCTTCTGAGGAACCTCAAGTGACAGAAAAGTTCATTCCAGTTCACCCAGAAGAGAGCCCAGGTATTGGGAACACCCATGCCTGTCTGTGGCCTGAGGAACCCTGTTTATCTGGTTTCTCAGAATCTCATGAATCACCTACTGTCTCTAGAAGAAAAAGCCAAGGGCAGTGAGGGATGAGGGACCCCTCAACCATTGGACACCCTTAGGGCCATACAAAGCCAGCAGAGCGATGTTTCTCTATTTCCCTATTTGCCTTTCCTTTTGCTCAATTTTCCCTCCAGATTGCCCTGCTGGCCCTCCGCGGGTCATTGTCTTTCACCACTTCCTAGTGAGTTCCTCACTCCTGGGCTCCATACCTGGGGAGACGATGCAGATAGCCATGAGCAGGACATGTTCTTCCTCATGCAAATTCAGCTTCTTCAGCCCCACTTGGAACTTGATGAGGGGTTCAATCAGCTCCTGGGTGTGCCCAGCTATCAGAAAGAATGACCAGGTACTGTGGGTAGAACCCAGGAGCTACCCACCCCACCTCCAACCCCTGCCTGCCCTTGCTCTCCTCTCCCTATTGTTGCCTAGCCCCACCTCCCACTATCTTCCATGTGCCTGATGGGAGCCCAAGACCTCAAGTGGGTTGGAACCAGAGTCTGGGAGTTGGAAAAGGTGGAAGCAGAATCTAGACACACCTTTGGTCACATCAGTAAAATTATACTTATAGTCCTGGTTGCCGCAGTTCCAGGACATGTCATCCATAGTGAAGGACTGGTTGGAGCGCAGCATGATCACCTCAATGGCACTCGACTTCAGCAGCACGATCTGGTCCTCAGAGGTGAGATCTCTGTGGTGGTTGGGGAGGTGAGGAGATCAGGCCACCAGTCAAGACCTTCAAGTCACACCAATCAGTTTAGGGTTACACCTGCTAGGTGACCATTGTGTGCCTCTGTCCTCCACTGAGGGGTTTGCTGCCTGGTTGGAGAGGGCAAGAATGTTCCTCGAGGGAGAACAACTCAACACTGACCATATGCCAAGGTGAAAATTGAAGTAGCTCAGTTAATAAGAGAAGGAAAATCCAGTGACTAGGCAGCCAGAGCTATTAGTGATGGGACGAGAAAGCCAAAGGAAGCTCTCCATACCGTGGTGTGGATAGGGTGGTCTGCAAATGCTTTGGCCCAAGTCATCTTCAACAAATCCCCTGTTTTCATTTCTTTTCCCTCTTCCTGTCCACCCATCCTTCTCAGTAGTAAGCTCTGTCTCCAGGACCTTTCTCAAACCCTTGACCTTATTCCTACTCTCACCAGGACTGCTCCATCAAGAGCTCCATCATCTCTTAAAATAGCCTCCTCTTGGGGTTCTGGACTCATCTCTTAGATCTCTCATTCATCTTTCCTCCTGCTCTTCCAGGTAAATGTCACTTTTGTGCCCAGAAAACCTCACTGATTCTCAAACACCCATAACTTGGATCCAATCTGTCTTTCCAGCCCACCCCTCCCAATGCAAATGCCATCAACCCTCCATTTCTAGCAACACTAGGCCACTCTATATTCAGATGCTGTGTGTTTTCAGACCACTATACCTTAGAGCATACTCCAGCTCCAGTGAGGAACACCCTTCTTCTAATTTTCCATCATACTGTCCTTAACCTGAATCCAGTGTTATCTCTTGGACCTCCCTCCCCCATTCTCTTTAGCAGAAGCCATTTCTTTATGACCCACTGCACATCACTTGGCTCTTATTTTGTCCTTTCACCTTCAGTTCTGTTCATGCTAGTCTCTGGCTCTTATTTGTAAGTTACTTGAGGGCCAATACCATCTCTTAATTACCTTACTATTACCCATACTCTGACCATCAAGCCTTGAGTACAGGAGGATCAATAAATGTGTTTATGTGATAAGAGCCCAACAATTAGTTCCACTGTTCTGAGTCATAAGCTGGGCTTGTCTGAACAATGGCAAGGCAAAACCAGAGACCATGGACCCACTTGATTTTGGCTTTTTCCTCCTTTTTCTTCCTGACTGTCAGTTTTCTCCTGGAAATCATGTAGATGGGCTGTCATCTTCTCTATGGCTGCTCTTTGGTATGTAAATACAGGAAGCAGATATTAACTGATGGGAGTTCTATATCAACAGGTGATAGATGATGGGGAATGAAAGGGCTTACATGATTAGGATGGTAGCCAAAGGACTGGTATTGAGCAATACACAAAATGCAAGAGTTGGAAAGCCTCTTGGAGACCAAGTAGGCCAATTCCTCTTCCTGCATGCCTGACAGATAGCGCTTACATAGCCTCCACAGGATGCTCCTGATGTAGGGAGCTCACAGCCTCTGGACTCAGCCATCAGGTTGTTAGATAGTTCCTGCCTTGATGGCCTCTTCTTCTGTTCAGCTTCAACCCCCATGCAGAGATATTCACCCAATGCTTATAGTTTTGCACTCGAAAGAATCAGACTTCTCCCTTATCCTTGAGATGGCCCTTTAACCATGCTAGTGGAATTTTAAAAAAATTTATTTATTCATTTTTCCCCATTTATTTGTTTGGTTGGTTTTGGGGTATTGAATTTTGTCAATTGATTTTCTCTGACAACTCATGACTAGGATTTCTCTTCTTAAGCCTGGGTATGCTTTTCCTGACTGTTGTAACAAATGACCACAAATCTAGAGACTTACAACAGCAGGAATATTTTATAGAAGTCCCAGGTAAACCTTGGGGGTCAACTCCTGATGTTGGTACAACCATGTCCTTTTCTTTTCTTGGTACCAGGGATTGAACTCAGGGGCACTCGATCACTGAGCCACATCCCCAGCCCTATTTTGTATTTTATTTAGAGACAAAGGTCTCACTAAGTTGCTTAGTGCCTTGCCATTTTTGAAGCTGGCTTTAAACTCGCAATCCTCCTGTCTCAGCCTCCTGAGCTGCTGGGATTATAGGCATGCACCACCATGCCTGGTGGAATTTTTTCTTTTTTAAAGAAAAAATTACCATGTCCTCTTTCTATATTCTCTAGGAAAGATGGGCTAATAACTATCTAAGTCTAAATGTTTCCTTATCTTTGTCACTTTTCTCTAGCTGTTCACTCTACAATTAAAAAATAAAAATTAGGGGCTGGGGTTATGGCTCAGCAGTAGAGCACTCGCCTAACACATGCAAGGCCCTGGGTTTGATCCTCAGCACCACATAAAAATAATAAAAATTAAAAGTTATAAAATTTTAAAAAATGATAAAAATAAAAATTAACATCACTTCCATTGTGTTTTGGTTTTTAACTCATCATACAAGTAAAACATGTATAATTAAATCTTTGGAAAACAAATGTATGAAAGCAAATAAAATTACTTATAATCACAACTAACATATATATATATATATATATATTTTAACATACTTGAGTTCATACTAATTCCAGCTTCCCATATCACTGAAAATTCTTTCACCCAGTTCTTAGTGGGCTGGGTAATCTTACATCAGTACACTCAAAGTTATTTAAGCAGTCTCCCATTTACCTATTTTGGGATGTTATGGTAGCTTCTAACTTTTGTTACAATAGGTAATTTTGCGAGGATTATCTGTTCAGTGCCCTAGTCAGGATGGATGGCATAAGTGAACACACATCCTCTGGGTGGCTGGCCAGGGGATTTCAGTAGGATTGCTGCTTGTTGTGACCCAGACATGCTACTGCTATGAAGCAAACCTCTGATGACCCCACATTACCACCCACAGCCAGGAAAGACAGGGACTTTCTAAGTGCGGTTCACAGCCAGAACTGGGGATGGTGGTGGGTGGGAGTAGACATGGAGTTTAAGGAAACCAGTAAGAGGGCTGCTCTGTGACAACTGGAGCCTGCTCGGTCTCTGCCTCCTCCCTGACCTGTGTGATATTTATACCCTTGTTATCATCACACCTGTGGCCACTTCTGAGTACCTGAGGCGTGCCTGGTTTGATGTTGCTGTCTGGTCTTTCCCACCCCCAAGGGCAGAGTCCAGCCCCCCCTCGCCTGAATTCCCACGGTATCTCTAGCAGGTTTCCAGGAGAGCTCTTATCTCTCTACAGCAATTGCTCACATGCCTATCTCTTCCATCAGACACTGAGTACCTGGAGGCAGGGACTGTGTCCTAGTCAACTTTTATCCTTCACAGTTTATATAAGAAACTTGTTTGTTTGATGGATGGGTAAATGAATGTGGAGGAAAGAGCACAGGACAAAGGAAGTACCATGACCCCTGAGCCTTTGTCTCAAGAAGGAGTCCCTGGAAATGGAAGTGGCATTTTTAGCCCACACATCTGGGCTCCAGCTGGAGTGGCCTAGTCCCTTGTGCACCCACTTGGCTGTGGAATCTGAGGGTGCTTGGTCCTCACATCCAAGGCTCTTCCTGGATGTGAGGACCAAGCACCCTCAGATTTGCAAGCTGCTTCTGACAACACTTCTTCTATGCATTTCTTTTGCAGTACCAAGAAAGAGGGAGGTTTGTGGGGTAAGTCTGAAAGGATGAAAGAGAGGCGGTGGGAGGAGGGAGTGGGGCCAAGTGTTCACTACAGTGCAGTTCACGCCCAGAGCAACCCATCCAGTCCCGCCCCATACTGGTCCCATGCCCAAGCTGGAGTCTCATCCAGACCCCCCCTCCCCTCACCTACACAGGAGTCTCATCCTGCCTTCCCCACACCCACCACCCCCGCCTATAGGCAGCAAGATCAAAGCCACCAGGGACCATGGCCACTGTTCTTCCACTTCTTGAGAAATCAAAACCCTTAGCATGGAAACCAGAAAGACCAGGGAGCTGCTGGACTGGCCCTGACTGGCCCCTGGAAGTTGCTCCCATCTGAGCTCAGCACCCTCTCCATCTGGTCACAGTGTGTCCGCATCAGTGTCCCCCCCCATGCTCTTGCCAAGGTCTGCTCCATTTATATGGAAAAACATTCTGCTCTGAAACTTCTCAAGTCACTCTACAGAAAGAGAAGTTGACCCAAGGACATTCAGGATCAGTTTAACACATTTTGTATCAATGGTTTGGCACCCCTATTACCTGCTCACATGTACTTCCCTTTAGCCATGACTACAGGACCAGACTAACGAACTCTAGGGAAGATAAGACTTGAAAAGAAGAGGGCAGACTTAGGCTCAGACTTGGGAAGAAAAATTGAGGGGGAGGTAAGGAACAGGTACCAAAGGACACTGGAGAAAAATGGAGGCTGGGGACACTTAGGGAAGAGGAGTAGTGCTGAGAGATGCATTTTAATGAGGAATTTCCTTGCAGGATGGTTTCCCATGTGCGCAATCCTAGCCACCACTTAGAACACCAAAACTTAGCCTTTGGAGAGAGCCTCAGGCCATCTGTCCAACTCCCCACTAGAGCAGGGAAGAATGAATCCTGTGCAGATGAGGATGGAAGCCAGATGCTTCAGAGTAGACTTTGGCACCTTGAAGTGTTTTTTCTCTATTTACACAAAACAAGACTTTGGAAGAGATGGAGTTAACATCAAACAGTAACATGAAGCATGGAGGAGGGAGTTGAAACTTGTGTTCAACGGAATGTGTTTTTGGTTCCAAGGGAAGGCTCTGGAGGTTAAACCCAGGGACTCACAGGAGACTCAGTCACTTGTTCTGTCTGACTGCCAGCGTGGCCCTTGTTCTGTTGCGGCAACCCAAATGTACATGTGGCAAGAGTGTCTCAACATTGTTTGACGTTCTTTTTTTTAATATTTTTAGTTGTCGGTGGACCTTATTTTATTTATTTGTATGCGGTGCTGAGAATCAAATCCAGTGCCTCACGCATGCTAGGCAAGCGCGCTACCACAGAGCCACAACCCCGGCCCCCTGACGTTCTTTTCTTTACAATTTTCACATTAATTTCAGGGCAAGAGCATTGGAGAGTTTCTGGTATATGGGTTGGTGAGAGGCATAAAATAAAGCAGGGCTAGTTGTCTCAGCACAGAAACAAACTGGAAAGCGTTGAAGCACCTGACTTCCATCCTAATTCTGAAGAGCAGTCCTCATCTATACATTGCCATTAAGCAGGGCAATGTGGTAATTTAGACAATAACTAATTGATGGCTTCAGTATGCAGCAGAGGGATCCACAAAACAAATAATGGCAGTTCATGTTAGTTCCATCCAGAGCTGGCCAACAATGATTTATTTTCCAGCTTACAGGATCCTATTATGTATTTATTTATTTTGGTATTGGGGATTGAATCCAGTGGTGCTTAACCACTGAGCCACATACCCAGCCCCCTTTTAAAAATATATTTTTAATTTTTTTAGTTGTTAGTGTACCTTTATTTCATTTATTTGCTTATATGTGGCGCTGAGAATTGAACCCAGTGCTTCACATATGCTAGGCAAGTGCTCTACCACTGAGCCACAAACCCAGCCCTCCCCAGCCCTTTTTTGTATTTTATTTAGAGACAGGGTCTCACTGAGTTGCTTAGTGCCTCACCATTGCTGAGGCCAGCTTTGAACTCATGATTTTACTTCCTTAGCCCCCTGAGCCTCTGGGATTACAGGCATACACCACTGCACCCAGCTACATTATATATATATTTTAAATCAAGATACACAGTGAAGTTTTGGAAAGAATGAAGATTTAATATACATAAATATGGATGTAGCTATCTCCCAATATATTTATTAAAAATGACAACTTGGTATTGCTGGCTCATAAAGCAGTGCTGGATGGGCTACATTTCCTAAAATACAGATTCCTGGGCCTCCCCCAGAGATTCTAATTCTGGAGGTCTGAGGTAGAGCCCAATCTCTGTTTTGGGAAGGAGTGGGTTGGTGACCTCCAAACCTTCTAGCTCCATCTAGGATTCTGACTGATCCCCAGACATTGCAGAAACTACTTACCTGAATCCTGGGATCATCTTGGCAAAGCCGATCACCTTTTGGATGCTATAACTGACCAGGTCAGCTAGGTGGGGCAGCATGGATAGTTGGGACAGGTCCAAAGTCACAGAAGGATCATCTGGGTCTTCTTCACTTAGATCCAGGTTGGAGAAGTTAGATGGCTCCATCATGTCTGGGGAAAAGGAGGAAAGAGTAGGAACTATTTAAGAATACTCAGGCTGGAGCAAGGCATGGTGGTGCATACCTGTAATCCCTATGGCTCCGGAGTAGGAGGCATGAGGATTGTGAGTTCAAAGGCAGCTTCAGCAACTTAGTGAGGCCCTAAGCAACTTAGCAAGAACCTGTCTCAAAAAATAAAAAGGGCTGGGGATGAGGCTCAGTGGCTAAGCATCCTGGGTTTAATCCCTAATACTTCCCCACAAGAAAAGAATTCTCAGGCCAGGTCCCTCTTGCCTGCCCCTACAAGGACCTCATGTGCCCTGGAAGCAAAGCCAACAAGGGACCCCACAGTGACAGCCTCCCTCCAAAGGCCACACTGCCGCTCCAGGATTCCCTCTGGGTCTCTTCTGGTCTCTTCTAGCAGTGTGAGGTGTGAAGCAGTAAAAACAAAGAGCCAGAAATACTTAGAGAAACAAGACTTCCTTGAGCCATGATTTTGGAGACCACGTGATTTTGCAGAGCATGGATCAGATGGTCCTTTCCACACAGCCTGCATCAGAACTTGGCCTCTCCCTCAGCATGGGCCCAGTGCAAGTCAGTGCCCTTCTGTGATCTCCATTAAAAATGAATTTGGGACCAATCAACTTGCATGTGTGTGGGGGGATGTTCAACCTCCCTAGTGATGAAAGAACTACAAAGTAGAACATCTACACTATTCACCTATAAACTGCAAATAAATGTTTAAATGTTGATACTAGTATTTGTAAAGATACAGAGAATTAGGCAATTATCATGCAGAGCTCAGTGCTACAGGTGTACATATGTACAGGTGATCTAAGCTATTTGACAATAGGGGTCAAAGTCTGTAATTAAGTGTACTTTTTGACCAGTAATCCCACTTTCATGAATTCACCATAAGGAAAGAATTCAGAATAACTGTAAATATTTATCTACAAGCAAAGTATTATCCTTCTGAAAAGCTGGGAAATAATCTAGCTATCCTGGTGGCAGGGGATTTAGATATGTTTTAGCTCCGAATACTATGCAGCCTTTAAATACTAATACTATATTATAGATGAATAGTGAAAGACATGGAAATATGATACAATACACTATTTCAATTTTTTGGAAGTACTAGGGATTGAACCTATGGGTGCTTTTACTACTGAGCTTCATCTACAGTTCTTTATATTTTGAGAGAGAGTCTTGCCAAATTGACCAGGCTAGCCTCAAATTTGCAATCGCCAAGTCTCAGCCTCCTGAGTCACTGGGATCACAGTCATGTGCCACTGCACCTGACATACGTATACTATTAAGAGAAAAAAAAAGCAGTGATCTGACTTAGGGCACAATTCCATTTCTGAATACAAGGGATCCCATAGTGACAGCCTCCCTTCAGACATATGTGTTATAAAAAAAAAGATGAAGAAGAGATACTTCCTAATGTTAATTTTCTTGGCTCAGGAAGATTAAAGATTATACATAAAATAAATTTTATAGATAATGCATTTTAACAATGTATGCTCCGGGCTGGGGATATGGCTCAAGCGGTAGCGCGCTCTCCTGGCATGCGTGCGGCCGGGGTTCGATCCTTAGCACTACATACCAACAAAGACGTTGTGTCCGCCGAGAACTAAAAAAAAAAAAATATTAAAAAAACCCCCAAAAACCCCCCAAAAACAATGTATGCTCCAACTGTTACCTCTGTCCTGCTGGCCCTGTCTATTCTGGATCCATGCACAGATCCATCACTGAGTCTGAAAATTTCTTATCTAAGGGATGTAGTTATCGAGAGGGAAGATAGGGTCCCTATCCCTGCCCTCAAATAGGCCCTGAGTGGAGGACACCAGAGCTAGGTGAGGGGTGGAGGGAGAAAGGACAAGGGCAAGGGAGGATGAGGAGGAGGATGAGGAGAAAGGTATAAAAAGTCCATAAGAGGGAAAGACTGTGCCTCCCAGGCTCTTGGGTGAACTGGAGGTGGCCGATCCTCCAGGGCTATAGTGCTCTCCCAGAACTCAGGTAAAGCTCTGCTTTCCACTTTGATTTCACCTCCCTAAACAGCCCAGAATCAAAACATCATTTAAAGGAATCAGGTCACCCCCAGGGAGGGAGCCAGAACCTGGCTTAGAGGAAAAGAGCATGGATCAGATGGTCCTTTCCACACAGGCTGCATCAGAGCTTGAACTCTCCCTCAGCATGGGCCCCACGCAAGTCAGTGCCCTTCTGTGAAAATGAGGTAGTTTTGAGGACACTGTGTGGTGCACAGTATGCAAATGCTGGTCACAGTAGGGAGCTTTCTGCCTCTTGTCATCCAGCAGCCCAAGGAGAGGTGGGTGGGCTCCCCTCCTCTGTTGGCCTGGCAGCGGTGGGAAGTCCAGCTTACCTAGAGAGGTGGTGTAGAGATCTGAGCCAGAGGAAGAGGAATTCCTGGAAAAGCTGGGAGTGTGCCCTGCAGGATGACTCTCTTCTCTCTCATGGTCTCGAACTGGAGGCTGGAAGGGAAAGACGGGGTCTCAGAGGCCCCTATTTTCAGGAATGCCTTTTTGTTTTGGTCCTGATCTCTGACAGCAATGGTTTCAAGGAGGATCTACAGGAATGGAAGGCCTCCCAATGCCAGAGGGGCAGAGCAGCTTCTGTCCCTTCCCTGATTCCATGCCAGCAGGCCCATGGCTCTCCATTCCTGCTCCCAGCCTGGCTTGTTTCTGGTTCTCCACTAGCTCTTGCTCATACTCCCTGGCTGGAGGCAGACATACCCGGAACTGGTCAAAGTCGGCATAGGTGGGATCATAGGTCTTGTGGTGGGCGTCCAGCAGGATGGCAATGATGTGCTGCTGTTCCTCAGATAGCTTGGGCCGCAGACTATCCTTCAAGGCCTCTTCCTCCTTCCGCTTTAGGATCATCTCCCGCTTGCGCTGCACCTCCTCATCTGTCAGTATGACTGTGGGGGCAGGAAGGGGAGTCAGGAGGGCTGGTCCACAGCTCCTCCAGGAAATGTTCATCCAGTATTAAAGGACCAGCATGGGAGGAACTGGCTGTCTCCTCACACTTGGGGCTCCCTGGGGCTCCAATGCCACAATATGGAAATAAATTAGGTTAGCTCTGATGAAAAGGCAGGCACATCCAAGAAGAAGAAAGAGGATCTGGGAGGCAAGATGGGCTGGCATTAGGGAGTCTGGATTCCCAAGAACAAGTTGTTGGATCTTTAGCAAACTGCTCAAACTCTAGGCTTTTGCCAGGTGCAGTGGCGCACACCTGTAATCCCAACGGCTTGGAAAGCTGAGACTGGAGGATCGCGAGTTCAAAGCCAGCCTCAGCAATAGCGAGGTACTAATCAACTCGGTGAGACCCTGTCTCTAAATAAAATACAAAAAAAGGGCTGGGAATGTGGCTTAGTGGTTGAGTGCCCCCAATCCCAGTACCCTAAAAAATAAAACAACTCTAGGCTTTTGTTCTCCCATTTATAGAATGAGAAGTTGAACCATATAACTTGTTTCTTGCTATTTTCTCCATAATGAGTGTGTGTGTGTGTGTGTGTGTGTGTGTGTGTGTAGGTGGGGGAGTTTTAGGACCCAGATGCGAGGCTGACACTGTGCTCATGAAGCATTAGTCTTCCTCCACCCTCCCACCCCATGGCCTATGGTCCTGAAGAAGAAAGATATGAAGGTAACGTTACAGTGAATGAACAACTGTGTGGACACTCACAGTTGGAGTGATGGATGATAAGAGATGCCAAAAAGATCCCTCTTCATAGTCACTCTCACATCCATTTCTCAGCATGAAACTCAGGCATCTGGTCTACCCTGACCATCTTCTTTGGTTATCTGCAAAACTACCCATCTTCCAGCCTGTCCAGTCTTGATATATCTGCTCAAGGAAGTTTTGGAGCTCTCTTCGAGTCCCTGAAGGCTAACGCCTCACATCTCTAATCTGGGATGTTCTCTCCAAGTTGCTAGTGGGTGACTGGCCATGAGACCCTCTGTCACTTGCAGGTTTGGGCAGGGATGACCTGCCACACTGTGCTGGGATGGCTGCCCTGGAGGGTGGGGCTGTAGCAGGGATGCCTGGCACAACAGCCAGGCAAACAGACCTCCTGGCCAGGGCTTGCAGAGTGCTGACGGCAGGAGTGGGCACTGGGACATCCTGTAGCTACTTGCTCTTCTCTGGAGCTGCCAGGCATCTGCCCACAGTGCTGGGGAGTTTCACAAGAGCAGGGAAAGGATCAATAACCCCAGAATGGGAGAGTTCCAGGCTTCAAGAAGGGCCAATTGACCCAGGTACCCTAGGTAAGGGGAGAATGAGAGAAGTTGGTGGGGCCTGAAGAAGAACCTAAGGCTGGTGGGAGGATACAACCAGGGCCACAGGCATAGCAGGAAAAGTAAGCCTACGGCAAAAGATGGAGCCCTCCCTTCACGCTGAGGTAAGCCATACCAAGAAGAGGGCTGGGAGGAGGCCATGCCAAGGTGATTGACTCAACCACCCAGAGCTGCCAATCTCCTCCCACAGAGGGTGTCTACTCAGACTCTAAGAGGTCAAGAAGGGTGGGGAGAAATGAGCAGAGCAGGGAAAGGCAGGATATAAGGCCCTGGCCTGGGGAATCCCAGATTAGGTGTCTGTTCTTTCTTGCTCATTTGAAGGGTGGATAAAGGGGGTAATGTGATCAGAACTAAGGAGGCCAGGCTCTGCCAGGCACACTGTGGATATCCATAGGCATGTTTTTCAGTCTTAATGGACTTTGGCATCCCTCCTGTGATTCTATGATGTTATTCTCCTGCTTAGAAATGTTTCTTGGCTCCTTCCTGCTTACCAGGCTCAAACCAAAGTCAAGGATCTCCAAGATTTGGCTTCTTTCTAACTATCCAACCTCATTTCCCAGCACCTCTGGACACTGCTTCTGCTATAGGCATGTTGGCATTGCTGACCTGTGAACATGACCTGTGCATATCTCCCCCTGAATTTCCACCTGTGCTGGATGTTTGTCCAGTTGGGTCTTCCCTCCCCAGTAGCTGTATAAGTTCTATCACTTTCTCAGTGCCCAGCTTAACACCCTCCTTTTTTGATTGCCCTGATCTGCACTGTGCTCTCGTTTCTTGTGGCTGACACATATTTAATCTTTCCCATTCACATTGACCCCTAATCATCTTCCATTCTTTTTTTTTTTTTGGTACCAGGGACTGAACTCAATGCACTTAGACATTGAACTACATCCTGGCTCTTTTTAAAATATTTTATTTAAAGACAGGGTGTCATTGAGTTGCTTAGAGTCTTGCTAAGTTGCTGAGACTGGCTTTGAACTTGCAATCCTCCTGCCCCAGCCTCCTGAGTCACTAGGATTACATGCATCAGCCACATTGCCAGGCTTCAACTTCCATTCTTTAATACTAATGGTTAGTATAGGTTTTAATAAATGCTTACAGAGAGAACCTAAGAAGTTGAAAGTCTCCCTCACTAGACTTTAGTTTACTTAAGGGCAGAGGCCCTGTCTTAGAATTCTTGCTTTTCCCAACACAGGCTTCCTGGCCATGGTGCTTGCCAGAAAGTCTGACACCAAACATTGAGCACATCAACACAGACTGCACCTACTATGTGCAAGTCATTTTCCTAGGCTTGGGGAAGGACAGTAAGGAATGTATCAAGTCATATATCCCCTGAAATGTTGGAAATGGCACACATGGCACACCAGGCCACTGCATAACTGAGCGAAGCTAAACTCTTTGATTAAATAATTGTGATTGAAATATTTTTCATCATAAAACCTTTTCTCAATGATTCAGAGACCTCATTCTGAATACTCTTCGAACATTCGGGTCAAGGTCATGACCTCAGGGTTGTGTGCTTTGGAGTGTTGTGCTCCTTTTTACAGCTTGGTCTCTGCCTTTCTGCTAAGCTATGCATTGCCTCTTCTTGTCAGTATCTGCCTCTAGAAGTGTGCTTTTCTTCCCTCCAGTGTTACTTCTGATCTGTTGGGAGCTAGAAATCTTGGCAATCAAGTCTGGTATAATAAAAAGATAGTATTAATAGTAATGGATAACATACATAATTTCTTGTTGTATACCAGGCACTGTTCTAAGTGCTTTTTGTACATGCACTTATATATATTTAGTCCTCTCTTAACAATCCTTAAAGGCAGGCACTATTAATATGCCCATTTTGCAGAAGAGGGAACCGAGTCTCAAGTCACACAGCTAACAAATGGTAGAGCTGCTCTTCAGACCTGGGCAGTCTGGTTCTGGGGTCAATGGCTATAATCATAACCCCATACTGCCTCTGACCCTAGCCAGCTATGACTGTTCAGTAGGACTCTGGCTCTCAGCCATCAATTCTGACAAACAAGGTGCTCCAATCCATCTGAAGAGTATAAAGAATTCAATAAAGTAGCAAAGAATGTCAACGGCTTACTTTAAAAAGACAAAAAGGATTCATGGTTCACTCTAAAACAGTGTTCTTCCCAACTATTGCCTCAGATAGCAGCCACCATCTTCTGGGTGAGTGGGAGACTAGACAAAGAAACCTAAGCTCTGTTTTACCCAAGGTGCCCAATCCAGGAAACTCCCTCCAACAAGGCCATGTAGTTTAGGGACTGAGTAAGCCATAAGCCTCTCACATATACAGATGCTACTATGATTTATGAAATAAATTTTAAAGGGGTTATTAATTTCATTGGTTTCTGAAGTTGTCCTTGAACCTGTGATCCTCTTGCCTCAAACTTCTGAGTCATTGGGATTACAGGCAAGTGCCTCCATTCCTGGCAAGAGACACGTTTTGAAGAGAAAAGCCACTGAGCTAGAATAAGGGTAAATAGGTCTGAAAGAGCTGCATTTGAGGGGCTCTCCAGTAAACAAAGCTATGAGCTTTGGTCCCTGCTCATTGTGAAACACTGTGAAAACTACACTGCTGCTCAGCAGCTTTTTTGACATCTCCCAAGTTCCTAGCTGGATGTGACTTTGTGCAAGTTATTTCCTTGTAAGCCATGTTCTCTGTCAACAAAGCCTAGACTCGAGTTGGGAAGTCAGATCTGCAAACATAAATGATTTAAAAACATTTCACGATGGCCATGGGTAACAAAGGAAGTGGACAAAATATTTTTCCAAATGAATGACAGAGACAATATCAGGTTTGGAATAATCTTTTTGGCTTCTATAGACAAGTGGCGATATAGAGACCTAAGAAGTATAGTGTGGAGCTATGTGCTCCATGTGGGGACATGGAGAGGTCTAGGAGGGGACATGGGTTGGATGCAACCCATAATAAGTAAGTAAAGCTGGAGGCTATAAAGGAAGGGTTCTTGTGTGGGAGTGCCAAATAATAACAATCACAAAGGACTCTAGAGTTGCATGTTTGTCCTGAGTTGAGTTGAGCCTGATCTCATAGACTTACAAATCTTCCTAATCTCCTACATTGATAAACTCCATCTGTTTGTAGAAATTCACACTGGGGAAATGTAACAATCATCCACTTTATGCTTTGAATATAGCTGTATTCCAGCTTATCCACCAAATTGTTCTCAACACAGATTTATTGAGCACCTACTATGTGCCAGGCACTGTGCTAACACTGGAGAGAAAACATATATATTTGCAAAAAAAAAAATTGAGGTTTACATAATAGGTGGTTCTGTGTAGGATGAGTATAGAATAAGCAACATGCAAGAGCTCAACTATGGAATGTCTTGGGTTCCAAGGACATACAGTCAACAAGGATTGGAAGAGAAAGAAGAGGACTCTTGGTGGGGACAAAGCTCTCTTTAGCTTGTCTCCAGGCAGTATCTGGAAAGGTAAAATGGAGAGAGCTCTGACTATTAGAAGCACCTGAGAGGCTGCCCTGGGGTGGACCCCATAAGCCTGGCCTTTGGAGGCAGACAGACCTATGTTAGAATGAGTGTTGAACGTTGATACCATCATCATCTTAGCTCAGAGGCACATTTTAATTCCTTCAAGCTTTCTTAGCTTTTTTTTTTTTTTTTTTTTTTTTTTTTTTTTTTTACCAGGGATTGAACCCAGGGGTGCTTAGCCAGTGAGCTACATCCTCAGCCCTTTTTATCTTGTATTTAGAGACGTGGTCTTACTAAGTTGCTTAGGGCCTTTCTAAGTTGCTGAGACTGGCTTTGAACTCCTGCCTCATCCTCCTGAGCCACTAGGATTACTGGTGTACTCTACCGTGACTGGCTTTTTTTACCTATTAAAAAAATAGAAGTATTTACATATTTAGGGGTTGTTGTAAGAGTTTAAGAAGAAAATGCATGTCTGACACAGTATCTTGTATCAATAAACACTGGCTTCTGCTAAAGGAGCCAAGAGGCTTTGCACATATCCCCAAGAGTGACCTCTGAGGAATCTCAGCTGACCCTTAAGAGTAGATAGGAACAAGGTCAGTTTTGACCAACTTGGTCTTAAATACCTGGCAGGAGAGTGTAGCCTAAGCACAGTCCTACATGGACATTTAAAAGGAAAAACAATGTTTTTTTATATATAACTAAAGATGTATACTTGTGTCAGCCCTACCAAGAGTGAGTAAAGCTGGAGGCTATAGAGGAAGGGTTCTTGTGTGGGAATGCATAATAATAATGATCACAAAGAACTCATGTTTGTCCTGAGTTGATTTGATCCTGATCTCATAGACCTACAAATATTACTAACCTTCTATATCCATAAACTTCATCTATTTTTCACTGACATCATCATGAGTTACTGTCTTCATGGTTTTCAGAGACTGGCTGAGATACTAATTGTTTTTGTGCCAATTGTTTACAAAAAAGTAATGCTTTGCTGTCTTGTTTATAGTTGTCTCAGCATGATCCCTGTCCTACGTATGCCTTATCCAGTCACCTGCCATCTGCCACTGTGGACCTCTGGACTGCTCTGATATTGAATACTCTTAAACGTCCATATCCCACATGATAGAGAACAAGAACTTTGGGTTACTTCCCTTAACTTTGCTCCCTTTCAGAAGGAAGCAGCTTAGAGATGTTGTTGCCCATTTTCCCATAGAAATGGAATGCAGGAATTCACAGTGGGGAAATGTAACAGTGGTTCACTTTATGCTTTGAATATAGCCCTTGCTGCTCTGCCACTGCAACTGATTTATTTGTTTGTTTGTTTGTTGGTTTATTTGTGTGGTTGGTGCTGGGGATTGAACCCAGAGCCTTGTGCATGCAAGGCAAGCACTCTTCCAACTGAGCTATATTCCCAGCCCTGCAACTGATTTAATTAGTTTTTTAGTTGTTGAAGGACCTTTATTGTATTTATTTATATGCACTGCTGAAAATTGAACACAGTGCCTCACATACGTGAGGCAAGCGCTCCACCACTGAGCTACAACCCCAGCCCCCCTGCAACTGATTTTTTAAATGAACATGTTTCTTTCTCTTCCTCTCTCCTTGCTCCTCTCTAATCTCTCCTCCTCCCTAATCTCAGGATAAATTGGATTTTTTTTTTCCCCATTTAGGGAGATTTATCTGTATTTGAGTACACACTCACCATAGGAATAAAGTAACCCAGACTTTGGGGATGGTAACAGAAGACCTCAGAAATGACTGTCTCCCAAATTAACACATGAATTACAACTACAATAGAGAACATGTGGAAGGTAGCCTTTAAATGACCTCTTTAAAAGCACCCTGATCCTGCTGATGGGCAGAATCACAGCCTCTGGGACAGGAGTTCCCTGTGTTTCTCCTTTGCTAGCAAAGTAATAACCTTCTTTTTCATTTTTCTCAAAAACAAAATCAAAGCAGGGCACATCAGTGTATTCCTGTAATCCCAGAGGCTTGGGAGGCTGAGGCAGGAGGATAAAGAGTTCAAAGCCAGCCTCAGCAAAAGCAAGGTGCTAAGCAACTCAGTGAGACCCAGTCTCTAAATAAAACTCAAAATAGGTCTGTGGATGTGGCTCAGTGGTTGAGTGTCCCTGAGTTCAATCCCCAGTACTTCCCTAACTCCCAGAAAAAAAAAAAGAAGAAAAAAAACCCCACTAATTTCTATCTTCACCCCCTTTCCCTTTCTAAGTCTCCTCTATAGAGGGCCTATCTATCCGCTCTGGCCAGAAGGGAGCCTGGGTTTTTAGCTCCCTTCCTATGGTTTTACAAATTTTGAGTCACTTGATTGTTTTAGGGAGGCTAGGCCCTGGGACAACAGCTAGCCAATCAGGGAACAGCTCTCCTAGGACTCTGAGCTAGGGACTCTGGGCCCGGACACACATCAGCTGGGCTGACATGAGCAGGAACTAAATCTCTTCGGGGATAACCTACCCTTCAGGGCAGTGAAAAAGATGGGCTTGTGCTGGCCCAGTGCTTCAGTTCTAACTACAGCTCATCCACGGTTCAGTACAGCCGCCTGCCCTGGAGGCACAAGAGCTTGTGGGCAGGACAGGGCACAGGGCTCTGTGGGGCAGGTCTAGGCAGAGGCACAAAGCTGATTGGTGTGGGCATTCAGTTTTGGATGACTGGACCCACTATGTGGTGTGGTGTTCATGACCAGGGGCTCCTGATTTAGCTCCTGGGACCTGGTACTGCTCCTCACTGTAGTTTCTGTGCTCCTTGGGGGATCTGGAGGGGTTTAGAAGGGGACATGGGTTGGATGCTATTCTAGTCTAGCCACTAAATTATTTTCTGACCCTAATCCTGATGTTTTTCCTTTTTTGGGTTTCAGAGGATCTCTGTCTTCCTCCTCTAACAGGCTAACAGGACATCCCCTTTCCCTAAGGAACAGGCCAAAGGCTCCTGGGCCATCATCAAAGTTGACCTAACTCCTGAGACAAGTGTCTTACTGAATGCCAAGATGGAGCCTAGGCCATTCTTGGGTGGCTGAAGCTCCCTGCCCTGAAGGGGCAAAGTGCTTCACAGAGGCAGGGCAGGTGCTGCACCTTGTTTATGCCCACAGAGCAGACCTCATTAAGTTGGGGTGCAAAGGCTCATAGGTCCCCAGACCTTGGGACTGCATGTTCTCACTCTCTCCAGCATAAACACGGGAGCTGGGGTGGGGCAGGGACTGGGTAGAGTGATCAGCATGTCTAGGCCTGCACGCTCCTGTAGGGGTGAGGAACCACAGCCTGGAAACTCCTCCCAGAGCTGCCAGTGTTGGCTGGGGAGCTGCGATCAAGGTGAAGAGCCTTAGTCAAGGCCTAGGAGGAAGCCCAATGTAGGGCTCCAACACTGCCCATTTCTCAGCAATGGTGAATTTTATTCCCATTGAGAAGACATTTCTCATCACCTAAGGCCTTTCCTATTACTTTCTCAACTGTTACTGGTATATCTTTCTGGTATCTGCCTTTTCCTTACCTACCCCCCAAATGGTCCCATAGCCAGAAGGGCTTCTGGGATTCTTGTGCTTGAAAGCCTACCTCCCACCCCAGACTCCCCAGGCCACAGCTTGGCAGGGCATGGGTTCTGTTCTGGGGCTGGGGTAGAGGTCTGCCTGCCAACTGCAGACAAGAGTGCTCAGCGGGAGTAGAGTGAGAATAAAATGTGCACCAGCCTCCTATGGCTGGACTGGTCTAGCCCCCTTGCTCCAGCCTAGGGGGGCTATAAGCAAGCCTCTCCCAGCATTGGCTGAATTCAACAGCATTCAAGTCAAGGGCTTGTTTTTGTTTTGGGTTTCTTTTTCTTTTTTGGTACTGGGGACTTAACTCAGGGGTGCTTTACTGCTGAGCCATATCCCAGCCCTTTTTATTTTTTATTTTGAGACAGGATCTCACTAAATTGCTGAGGCTAGCCTCCAACTTGTGATCCTGATGCATCAGGCTCCCAAGTCGCTGGGATTACAGGTGTGTACCACTATGCCCTACTCCATGGTTTATTTTTAATGGTGGGTCAGAATATCCCTGTAAATCAGCCACGGTGGTCTTCTCCAACCCTAGAGTTGTATAGGAAGTGCTATAGGAAGTGAGGGTCATCCTAGAGCTTTGGTGCTTCACCTAGCAGAATCTACCCCCAGCCTTCCCTGGGCACCAGCCCTCAGATTGACCACAGGACCTACATGGCTGAAGGCCAGGGTGGGGACCCCTTCCTGCTAGGCTCTGCATATTTCTTCTCCCCACCACCTGCCCCTCCTCACCACAGCTGCTCTCCCTCCCAAAGTCCAGAGAAGTCTGAGCCTCATCTTTTCCTCTAGGTCTAGGGAATAAACAGGGAGCAGTGAGACTATGATGATATCCTGGAGAAAGACTGTGACCTGGGGGTCATGAAAGCAGTGCCCCCTTTCCCTCTCTCTGCTCACTCTGAGGGATCCTCCAGGGGTCTCAGGACAAAAGCACAGGACCTAGAGAGGCTCAAGGGCTCCTTGGTGCATTTGGCCCTACCACTCCAACAGTCCTACCCTAGCAGCTGGTCATACAGAGAAAAGGCAGACAGAACTCTCAGGCAAAGCTTGCATGATAGTGGTCAAAGCCTTCACGTGATTCCAGTTCAGCCTCCATCCCTGCCTCGCGTCCTAGGCACTCACATTCCTTCATCATGCCAATTTCCACACAGCGCTTGAGCCGGCAGGCCTGGCAATGGCGTCGGTTGTCCTTGGTGATGCGACAGTCCCCATTGAAGGGACAGGTGAAGAGCGCCTTCCGTTTCATGCTCCGCCTGCAGAGAAAGCACATGCCTGCACTGGGTCACTGAACCTTCTGATTCCTTAGTGCTGGCTATAAATAGCCTGCCAGGTCCATTCCACCCCTGCCCCCCCCACTCCCCAGGATGCAGGGCCCATCCTAGACCCTAGGCCACGGTCAGTGACCCCAGTGCGCTATGCCCTGCCCTAGCTTCATGTACCAACCAGTCCCTCCTCCTTCATTTATTGCCTCCTTAGCTCTCATCATTGCTTTTACTTATTTTTACAGCCTTCAGTTCCCCTCTCTTTTTAAAATGACACAGGAAATACACAAGTGAATTTTTCCAGTAAAATTTTCTAAATCCCTAAAATCTGCAGAGTAGCCCTCATAATGAGGCTTTTAATGAGAGGCAAGGATGCCAGTCTCAGCTTTCAGTCTTCTAGAGTCTAGAGGTCTGAGACTAGGACAGTCTAGATGTCTGTGACTAGGACATCCTGTGATCCAGGGATGGATTTGTGCACAGGAACGTAGAGAAGGGAGAAAAGGCCCAATCCCAAACCATAGCTCTATTCACCTGAACAGCCTGTCCAGAAAGGGAGGAGCAGGTAGGAGCAATGGCCTCCTGGAAGGCAGAGGAAGCCAGGGAAAACTATAAGAACTGAAAACTACCAAAGAGTTTTGAGCTAGGGAGCTGCCCTCCCCTGTGGGGTATAGTATGGAATATTCTCTGTGTGTGATAGAGAGTATATGTGTGTGTGTGTGTGTGTGTGTGTGTGTATGTGTGTGTGTGTGGTATGCACACATATACCTTTGCTTGCTTGTGCAAGCTTGAGGGTTCATTTTCCTATTTTTTTTAAAGAGAGAGAGATAATTTTTAATATATATATATAAGTTTTAGGCAGACACAACATCTTTGTTTGTATGTGGTGCTGAGGATTGAACCTGGGCCGCACACATGCCAGGCGAGCGCCCTACCGCTTGAGCCACATCCCCAGCCCATCATTTTCCTAATTTGATGTTCTCTCCCATGCCAACCACACCGTGTAGACTTTGGAGGCTGCATAAAGAACACCTCCCTCAAAGCCTCCCCTATCCCTGTCCTAAAGGCTTCTCACCATCCCTTCATGTGCCTCTCACCCCCCAGCAGGCCAGCCCAGGCTTATGCACATAGTGAGGGAGGGTGGAAGTCCTCTAGCTTATAGTTCTATGCAAAAATGTCCATACACTCTATGGATCAAAGCAAGTTACCAATCAGTTTAGATTCAAGGAGTGGAGAAAGATGGCTCTTTTTCATGAGAGGAACTTCAAAGTCACACTGCAAAGAGCCTGGGCTCAGGAATGGGTAAAATTTATAATCAATATACACCTCCCAGCCCCAACAGGACCAGGCCCCACTTTTTCCCCCAGGGAAGGTGACAAAATTAAGATAAAGAAAACTGGTGACAGAATATCTTTTTGTGTGAGTTGTAGCATCTTCTAGAGAACTTCTGGGTGTGGAGATAACAGAACCTCAGGAGCAAAAGTCCCAGTCCCAGCCCTTTCTCTCCCAAAGATGAGCAAGTAGCATCATTCTCTCCAGATGACAAGACACTAATTAGGATTCTTGGGTTAAAAAAAAAAAAAGACTCACTGATCATGTTCCCTGGAACACATATGGGGTTTAGGACAATCACACTCATCAGTTGACAGACTCAGTCCAATAAACAGACAGATGGGTACCAGACCAATCTGGCCATGGGATGGGGGAGAAGAGATCAGAGAGAGACTGTGCAGCAGCCTAGTTAGTCACAGATCCTCATATCCACAGGTGACCAGAGACCATTAGTGTGACCCCTTCATTTAATAAATGTGACCACTGAGGTTAGGAAACTTATCAATAAGACTATTTAGCAAAAGTTAAGGCTTTCATATCTGGAAGTTGGGAATCTGAGACTCAGCTTCCAGATTCTTGGATTATTTTCAACTCCAGAAACTCAAAGTACTGGGTAAAACTGAGCCCACATGCAAACAGTCCCAGGAAGCAAGCCCTTGGGTGCATTTCAAGGCCAAGAAGGACCCAGTGGTAGAGGAAGTAGCTGCTATTGGTTTTAGACACTAGCTCTGGTATGCTTCTGTGATGACCCTCATTACCCCAGGGGACAGGAGCAGACCCAGGGTTGTGAGGGGAGGTGGAGCAGAGCCAGTCTATTAGGGGTGCCTTAAATCCATGCCCAGCCCAGCTATGGCCCAGCCTGTCCTGTAGTTATTGCCCAGAGAGTGGTACAATATCGAGCCATTGTCTACCATTGTCCAAATTTTCAACCTTGCCTCAATACCCCGATTGCAGGGATACTTCTTTCCTGAGCAACAGCAGAATATGGAAACTGTTGGGCTACCCAGAGATCAGACAGCCACCACCACAGGCTTGGCTCTACTGCAGGACCGGCGCTCCTCCCTCACTCCTTTACCTCCTTCCACTCTGTGGTTTTTGAGGTTTCACCTGTTACCACAAATGCCCACAATTCTCTAAACCCACTCAAAGACCAAACGTTTCTAATTCAGAGAAAACTCTCATTTCCTTTTTTTTTTTCTTCAAAACCAGGCATTTAGCCCAGGGGTCCAAGGAACTGCTCTGTCCTCCACCCACTGTCTTGTCTGGCTCTGACCTCTTCCTGTGAAGCTTCTAGGGCCATGGGCACCAAGAAGAGCTCACAGGCAGGCTGTTGGCCTGGCCAGTGACCTGAGTCAAAGCCCCATCTGTCCCTAGCTAGGGCTGAGAGATTGCTGAGACCCCCAAAAGGGGGCATCTGGAGCCCTTCAGCGGCTCCCCTGTCCTTCCTTGGGCTTTAGGGAGCCTGCCTCTAAGCCTCACTAGGGGATAGCCTCCAAAAGCGAGGTTGCCTGAAAAGAGACTTTGGCACTTCACTCTTTTTAAAAAATTGTTCTCGTGTAGTTTTAAACCTGAAGCCCAATTTCAGGCTTCCACACAGAGGACATTGTCGATAGCCACTCAGCCAAACTTCACCTTACTGCAAGAATGGACTCTACTGAAGCTGGGTTAGGAATACAAGGATTACAGAGCTGGATTAAGAGAAAACACTCTACAAAGTATAGTATGAAACTCAAGTATTACAAAAGAAAAAGAGAGGAAGGAAGAGGAAGAAAATGAGATGGAGAAAGAGGGAAGGGAGGAGAAGGAGAATTATAAAGTTCTGGCACTTTCTAGGGGCAGGCACACAACCTCACATCAAGACTAGAACTGGGAAGAATACAGCCTGTGCTCTTGGCCTAAATTTTTTTTCTACTTGTAGATGGACACAATTCCTTTATTTTATCTTATTTTATGTGATGCCGGGGATGGAACCCAGTGCTTCACACTTTAGGCAAGCACTCTACCACTGAGCCACAACTCCGACCCTCTTGGCCCTTTTTTAGGCAATGCAAAAAAGCAGCTTATACATTTTATGGAAAGTTTTTTGTTTGGTTTTTGTTTTTGTTTTTGGTGCTAAAGATTGAACCCAGGGCTTTGCACATGCTAGGCAAGCACACTATCATTGAGCCACACCCCAGCTCTGGTGCTTTTCAATTATTATTACCATTGTTTAAAAATACAGTGATTAGGCCTTCTGAATGCAAAACCAGAGGAAGGCCTGGAAGATGGAGATTGAACACATGTTCTGGAGTGTGGGGTCAATGTTCAGGGAGGGTACGGAAAGCACACTTGCTGATTCCAGCAACCAACCTTGGGTCCTTCATGGAATCCTGACCCAGATCCCAGGGCGACCTTTCACATGTGTCTGGTCCAATATGGATGTTTGTAGGGCCACACTCCTCTTGGCTTAGAGGCCAACTTTTTCCCTGTCCTTCCACCTTCTTTTCTTTTTTTTTTTATTGTGGAGTTGGGGATTGAACCGAAGGCCTTGCTCATGCTAGGCAAGCACCTTACCACTGAGCTACACCCTCCATCCTGCCCTCCCACTTCCACATATGGGGCTGTCATCTAGTCTCTGCCCACAAGGAGTCAGGGCAGCCAGACCGCCCAGTCCTGGCTCTGTGCTTTGTCCTACAGATCCACACCCTACTCCGCCTTCCTCCCAACACTAATTGCTGAGCTGGTTTGGTTTGAGAAACAAGAGCTTTGGGATTCCACAGGAGCCTAATGCCTCGGCTGCTCTCTGAGCTGAACCCTGTCATCCCCTGGATGGTTGGCAATTATACCCCAGCTCAGGAGGGGGGGCAGGGGTGGTGCAACAAAGCTAAATATAGACACAGTTTCTAGAAAGCCAGGGGTGAGAGAGGACATTGACCGATTCTCATGCCAGAAACCAATTCATCAAAACATGAGGAAGACAGAAAGTTCATGAAAGCGTCAAGCATAGGGGGCTGGGGCCTCAAGCCTGGGGCAGAAGGCCCTGCTCATGTAGGTGTCTCTGCCAGCAGTGTGGAGTCAAATGCCCCCTGTGGGCTCTGCTGCCGCTGAGTGTCACAGAGATTCCATGCTTGGTCAAGACACAGGAGCTGGATGGAGCCCCTGATATGAAAGACTCAGGTGAGGTGATAGAAATGTCACCTAGCTTGGGGCAGGGATTGTGGCTCAGCAGTAGAGTGCTGGTCTCACATGGCGAGGTCCTAGGTTGGATCCTCAGCACCACATAAAAATAAATAAATAAAATAAAGGAATTGTTTCCATCTATAACTAAAAAATAAATATTAAAAAAAAAAGAAATGTCACCTAGCTTGACTATGGTGGTCATTACACAATGCATATGCACAGCAAAACACTGAGTTGTATCCCCTAAATACAGACTATTTCTATTTGTCAAGCATAAACAAAGGGGAAAAAAGACCAATGTCAACTGATAGGGGTCTACGTGGCAGGTTTATATATGGTAGCATTAAGGGGTTCTGAACAGGTAGACTTAAAAAGCATTTTAAAGGAAGGTTAAAACTGTGAGAAAGAGCTCAGACCTCTTTTCTAGAAGGCAATTTGGCAACATAAACCAAATATGTTAAATGCACAGATCTTTTAACACAGTAAATCCAATTCCAGGGGTC